ACTCTCAGCCACACTGTGAAAAGTGTACAAGGCAAAACAAAGAAAAAAATCAAACCTAAAACCTTTGTATTACTCCAACTATTTGCTAAGAAAATATGCCTAAAAGAAACTGATCTTTCTTGTTGTACATGCGTGTTAGATTTCTGAGATGTCCTGCGAGAGGTATTCCAAAAATGTCTTTTTGTTTCTCTCAAAACTCAGAGGGGAGCTTCTGCTGAAAATGAACAAGCCCAGTGAGGCGAAGGACGCCTACATACGAGCGCTGGAGCTGGACCATACCAATGCAGACCTGTGGTACAATCTGGCAATTGTCAATATTGAGATGAAGGACCCCTCAGAGGCTTTGAGAAACTTTAATCGTGCATTGGACCTGAATCCACGGCACAAACTGGCACTCTTCAACTCTGCACTTCTCATGCAAGAGTCAGGTGTGTGGGCAATGGCAATTTGAACCAAGCAATGAAGTTAGCTCTGTCACAAAACCTAGTGAGCTGCCTACATAGGCTGCTGCCTTCTAACCATCATAAAACACCTTAAGCAATTTGGAACGCTCTACAAGAGCAGCAATTTTGCATGGCACGCAGGCACTCAACTCGCAGTTGATAACCTTCATAACACATTAAGTTTATATGAAATATGCATGCTATGTTCAAATTTGGCTATACATCTTTGGCTATGAGACTATTTGCATCAGAAGTGTGCCATTTATGCCTAAAATCCAGTACCACCTGCTTATGTAGCTCACTAGGGGAAATAATGTTGCAAAGTACACTCCCTAATTTTTTTTTTTTCCGACCTGATCTTCAAAAAAACATTGTATCCATTACAAGAAATGGTGAGGTATTCAGTCAACTCTGTGAAAGTGACAGTTTGTCTAGCGACTAGCGACAGTAGTTAATGTTTGATTCACACGAGGTTAGACGTCAGAAGCATAAGCCAAGTTATTAACCTATGGATTCTTTGCGTGCCACCTCAAGGTAAGGCAGCAACCTCTCACCTAATTCGGTCATGTTCTCATGTCTAAGAATGTTAGCGTTTGATCCAAAAGCAATACGTTTAAATTGAATGTGACTCATTGAGCCTAACTTTGAGTTTTATGCCATTTTTTCACGCTTAGCTTTGAATAGCAGGAAAGACTGATGGATTCTTGCAGTTTGAGTGAGGAATTAGTTTGTAATTTTTCTGAGATTAGCACACCTACGCTGCCGCAATGTAAATACTACGAATACAACGGCTCTATTTACACATGGTTTTAGGCCTGTTGTACAGACTGTTTAATCATGTGACTGAGGAAGCATTTCGCGATCAATTCACAGGCCTGCTTGACACAACTGTTATTCTTTCATTCGGTTTTGTAGTTGTGCCCATCCGTATTGGTTTTCAAATAAAAGCAAGTTTGTTTTAAATGTATTCCCCATTTTTGGCCTACAGTAGTTATTCTGAACAGTCTTCAAGGGGTGATAAAAAGCTGACCGACCCTCCTTACCCTCGTTCTGACCTCATCGTTGCAACATAGGATGGTGAACAACGTAGACCTTGTTACAAAGCCAAATAACCGAGCCAAAATACTAGAGATAGTAGTGTCAGGCTTTTGGACACATTAATCAAAACAAAGAAATAAAGCATAAAACTAATTCATGTGGGTTAACTTCATCTAAATAATCTATATTTTTGGATATTCAGTATTTTCATTTATTTGACTTTAGTTGCTCAAAAGATTTACAGCACCAAGGACGTCTGGTGACAGTACTCTCTTGCCATTTGTTTTTTGGTTGGTTTGCTTTATTACAATACTAAAATTAAAGGGAAAAACATCCTTTCCCACATTGACTTTCATTGTGTGGAAATGTTTTTACAATATGGTATGAAAACTTTTGTGCTCCACTTAAAAAAAAGGAGACTTACATGGGATGGATCAACATCATTAAATGAGGACAGTCTGTATTCTCCTTAATTGTTGAGCAATTTGACTAATCACTTGTGTTTAACAAGTTACAGCCAGAAACCTTGGAGTTATGATTGATGATCAGCTTACTTTCTCAGACCACATTGCTAAAACTGTCCGGTCCTGCAGATTTGCTTTATTCAACATCAAGAAGATCAGGCCCTTTCTTTCGGAACATGCTTCACAACTTCTTGTTCAAGCTCTTGTTCTGTCCAGGCTGGACTATTGCAATTAAGCTAACTGAGACTTGTTATAGCACTTGTATATCATTGCTCTTTTGTTGATTTTGATTGCTTCCATTGTTCTCATTTGTAAGTCGCTTTGGATAAAAGCGTCTGCTAAATGTAAATGTGTTTATTTTTGTTTTATGAATTCATTTAATTGTAATAGTTGCATCTCTAATGTTCTTCTTTAACAGGTGAGGCAAAATTTCGCCCAGAGGCAAACCGGCGCTTTCTCACCTACGTGAAAGAAGAGCCGGATGATGCTAACGGCTACTTCAACCTGGGCATGCTGGCAATGGACGCTAACAAGAACGAAGAGGCTGAGCGCTGGATGCGGGAGGCCATTCAACTGCAACCCGGCTTCCGCAGCGCTTTGTTTAACTTGGCCCTTCTCTACTCTCAGTCACAACGTGAACTGGATGCTCTCCCGGTGCTTGAGGAGCTGCTGCAGTACCACCCGGAGCACGTCAAAGGCCTGATCCTCAAGGGAGACATCCTCATGAACCACCGCAAGGATACACGTGGCGCCAAGGCCTGTTTCGAACGCATCTTGAACATGGACCCCAGCAACGTGCAGGCCAAGCATAACCTCTGTGTGGTGTACTTCGAAGAACGGGAGCTCCAGCGTGCCGAGCGCTGTCTGGTGGAGACTCTTGCCATGGCCCCGCACGAAGAGTACATCCGACGGCACCTTGCCATCGTACGCAACAAAATGGCCGCCATGAGCGCTGCGGGCCAGCCGATTGCACCAACAGAGGATGGTAGTAAATTGGACAAGCAGCAAGAGCAACAACAACAGGACAAAGAGGAGGAGGAAGCACGGGGTGTTGCCTCAGGAGCAGTGGATGGGGCCAGGAAAGAGAAGAATTTGAGGAAATCCTCCCCCAAAGAAAGCATCAGCAGCCAGGGCCACGGCAAATCAAAGAAGCTGGATGACAAGCGGACTAAGAGCAAATCCACAAAAGAGATTAAAGATATCGAAAAGAAAAGGGCAGCTGCCTTGAAGAGACTGGAGGAGATTGAACGCATATTAAGCAGCGATTAACCTTGTTTATCAACCACCACACTATTTTTTATATATAACTATTTAAAGTGCAAGAACTAGACTCTTCTGTTTTTTTTTGAGACCTTGATTATGCATGTTTCGTGGCGCTTTTGTTTGATTGTTTTGTGTCTTTTATATATTGTGTGGTATACCTCCTTTTCCCACAGCTTTAATTTTGTAAAGCTGTTTGGCTGAAAAGGGAAACCAGGTGTGCACTCACAACATGCGCTGAAAAAGCACAAAATTAGGTACCGTTTTAAAAGAATCCCTACTAAAAAATCATTTATTACTATATTGTTTATTTATGAATGTCTATATTTGAGTCACTGGATTAATTTTTGTCACTTTTTTGTTTTAATTTACCAAACCACTGGCAAGTATTACTCATAATCACAAATAAAGTATTGGTAATATCAGTCAGCCCATTTTATAGCAGGGCCTCTGGGTGGTCCGTCACATGGCTGTTGTAATTTAGCTCAGCAGACCCCTCTCCCTCTTTGCATGACATCACCGCACGTCCTCCAGTTCACTGCTGCTGTTTATTCATGTGTCATTATTGCTGTTGTTTTGTTTTGTTTTTTTAGTTTTGACACCAAATGGTTAATTATACCATTTATATCCTCTGTTAATTATATCCTCTGACATAATCTCATTCTGAATTAGGTCACCTCCCTTCTCCAGCCCTCTTTTTGCTGGCTTCTAGGATTTATCTGTATGGCTCGCACACTGTTTGGGCTCTCGCTGATTTCACAGATTGGTCATGCAGAGGCAAACTTTTTTTCTTTGGAGTTTTTCTTTTCTTTTTAAGTGGCTTTTGACTGTTTTTTATTTTCCCCATAAAGATCTTTCCGTAAAATTATAATCAGACTATAATCGGGGAAAAAACGTAAAGGAATAATTCACCCAAAACTAAACATCTGTCATCATTTACTAACCCTTGTGTCATTCAAAACCTGTATGACTGACGACTTCTGTGGAACATAAGACATTTTTTATTCCCATGTACTGTTATACATGATGCAAAAGTGTCGTATGACTTCTGTGCTGCATGATAGCTTTGTTCAACAAACAGAATCTAATTTTAGTTGGTCGAGCTAGTTCTTTGAATGATTCGTTATTTAAATCAGCAATCCAGTTGCAGCACTTAACAGCTCGCTGGAGAGGCAGATTTTCTATGAATTACTTTAATTTTGGCGTTTTCTCATGCAAAGTTGCCAGATGGCATCAAAAGACGACTACAATTTACAATGTTGCTTTTTTAAACTCTAGTGTACATTCATTACAATTGCTTTGACAGGAATGAACAGAACCGTTCTTAAAATGTCTTTTATATGTGTTTGAAGCGACATGGGGGTGAGTAAATGATGACAGAATTGTCATTTTTGGGTGAACTGGCCATTTAATATGGTGAACATCATGGCGTAGACCATATTTTTTCTTTTTTTTTAGCTTTTCTATTTGGAAAGAATCAATCATTCATTTTCTAAGCCAAGATTACATGCCAGTGCGTTACTTCAGTATTCTAATGTGCTGCAGATGAACTTCAAATATTCATGTTGCGCTTGGAGTCGAGTTGAGCATATTGTTTCCTGTGAAGTTGAAACAACCATGTGCTCTCTCTGGAATGCTGTCGCCGTTTTACGGTTTACTTTGAAGGCAAGCCCTGAAATATCTCCTCTGACCTTTCTGAAGATTTTAACAGAAAAAAAAGGTACTCGAGAACGCACTGATCCTCAAAGCCTGAGTCCTCAAAGCCTGTGAGCGTGCATTTCCATATATTCTACAACAATAGCGATTTTAACACTAATGTGGAGCACATATGATGTGTTATTTTGTAATAAAGCCACTTTAAGTAGCAAAACTGTCTGATTAAGTAGCGGACTCATATAGTTTACAGTGCTATCGGCTGTTTTGTCAATTGAGATGTTCACTCACAAAACTTGAGCAAGAGACTTGAATTGCTACACTTTTGCAATATCTGTGCATCTGAATCTTTTTTTTTTTTTTTTACATTTTATTGTCAGTTTGATAGTCTGTAAGGACAGATTTACATGGCTGTATCATATTAATCCTCAAATATGTAGTGTTGGAAGTTCATTTCCCACTAGATCATCTCACTCAACTCTAATTCAGCTGTTCGTGATGTCATATTTCAAGTTTCCCTCAGCTCAGCTTTAATCTTAATTATGTTTTAGGACTCTTTCCGCTCATGTTTACTCGTGCTGTGCTTTCACCCCATATCCAATTTGTTACATCTTGATTTATGGTATTTACCTTTTTATTTGGACTAATGTTTTGACTTATGAGTGGTGGAGGGACCTTCGGTTTTCCAATAAAAATTACTTGCATCACGAATGTCTCATAAATGCCACTTTTTATGCATTCTGGCAGCTGCAAACAAGTTTTGCGTCGCCATCACAGAGAAATAATACATTTTCGATCTGCAAAATCCACATGGTCCAAGATTACTCACCCACGCCTTTGACTTTGAGTGCTTGTGTTGCAATGGCGCTCGCTGTAATGTGATATGTGCGTAATGAAGCGCCCTGCAAACAAGTGGCACTTTGTTGTATTTGTTGAACAATTTGGCATGATATTGATCTTTGTAATTAACAAATCTTTGTGTAACCCATTAACCCGAGCTGCCGGATTTTTGTGGAAATAGGCTTATGCCAAGAGTGGAAGGGCCCATAACTAGGATTTGTTGAAAAACAGTGAGATCCGTCGCAAACATAATTATACGCAGTATCTGGCAGACCAAAGAGACTAAACCACAGGAACTTAAGCTTTAAATGGTCTGCAGAGCTCCCAGTTCAAGAAACAAGATTGTCATCACATTGACATTTGATCACACAAGATGTTTAACATGATTATGCTTTTAGTCCATGTGAGAGCACGATTTATGTTATTGGATTAAAGGCTCAATGACTCTTTTGTAGCGGTAATGCCTGATTACATTTTGAATGGCCATGTCTGTGGTTTGGGAATTCATGAACTGGTCCATGCCCTATGGGGGGGGAATGGAGATTAGCTGTTTGAGGTGATATATCATGGAAAATGGTCAGGCTAAAGGTATTTTTGCACACTGAGTCCAAAATTTTCATATGCGTTTTTTTCGTATTCGTCATCCTTTCCTATCAAAATGCTTGCTACGGATGCGAAACGCAGAAAATCGAACCTGGTCCACATTTTTTTTTTATTACGGACAAAAGTTTCAGAGGCAGTGTGTAAACGTGTTTGACACAATGTGAGGTCGTATTTATTTTTTAGCGTGCGAAAATTTCGGACGAGAATTTCGGACTCCATGCAAAGACCTTCGTCCGAAATTCTCAACGATATTTTCGCACGTTAAAAAATAAATACCTCATGTAGTGTCAATCACGTTTACACACAGTGCCTCTGAAACTTTCGTCCGTCGTAAAAATTTGGATCAGGCCGTGAGTTTGAAGGGGGTAATTGAATGAGGGAAAGTCACGTGAGAGGAAGCAATAGGCGTGTTTGACTTCATGCTGTGCTGAATTGAGAGCGGAGACGTCAAGCCAGACACTTTCAGCTCCCAGTAGTGACGCTCGTGCGGTGTTTGCATACTCTATCACAGATTAAGTGAATTAAATGCAATATTTGTCAAATACACAGACGTTTCAAAAACGTTTTTATGAGCTACCACAACACTTTTTATATACTGCTAAGTACAGCGCCATCTGTTCAAGAATAAAGTTCAACGTAAACATACTATTTCAATACCAAAAAAGTGGAGGCATTTATGCTTTTATCAGTGTTTTATGTTAAACGTGACTCAATATAACATTGCGACTACAGTAAAAAAGCTTTTACTGTTCTAAAAACAGATTTGTGAGCATTATTTAAAATTGAAAAACATTATTGTTGTCATGTGCTGAATTTGGCAAATCGTGAAACAGCTGTGTTGTCATCGGAGCTCCTGCAGTTGCTCTGAAGAAAATGCTTTTGTGGCACTTTGATGCTTTACGTCACAGTGACATGGTGTCAGCACTGTCTCAAGTCGGACAAAATTTCTAACCGGCATGCACTGCTTCAAGTCAGCCACCGATCGGTCTGCACAGCGTTGCATGAAGTCGAATGTCTCCATTGCAATATGATTGCATATGACTGGTTATGTTCAGCTGTGATTGGTTCATGCGATAAATTGTTGTGCATGTTCGTGCACATTTGCAAATCAGTCTAAATTACCAATATAATGTGATTAATGGGAAGACTAATAAAAAAGTAAGTATACAACTCACACACTTAGATAAAAACCACTTTGTTATTTCAAAATAAGACTTAAAATGGCATGAAAACATGATCTGGGGGAGTTTATAGTGAGTAATCAATTTCTGTGTCTGTGACCAATATTTACCCAGCTTTGATGACTGATGATCTGAAAATTCATAAATAGTAAAGGGTTAACTATTAAAAAGAATAGATAAACATAAGTTCACATATAAAATAATACTGTCTAAATAGTTACTGCCTTAAGTTATTATTTTGGAATAAATGTAAACTGCTTAAAAACACCAACATGATGAGATTTATACTTGGCTTTAATAAATACAATATTGATTACATTGTTAATGTAAAAATAATTTTTTTTTCTGATAGTGTAAGTAATGTTTATTTAACCAAGAAAACGTGACTAACATGAATTTACATTTGATTAAAAAAAACTGAGGACTTGGCCACCTCATTTCAGAACACCACCGCACACCACTTAAAGTATATATACACCGATCAGGCCTTCCTAATATTGTGCTGGTACCCCTTTTGCTGCCAAAACAGCCCTGACCCGTCAAGACACAAACTCCACTAGACCCCTGAAGGTGTGCTGTGGTACATTGCCCAAAGCATCACACTGCCTCCGCCGGCTTGCCTTCTTCCCATAGTGCATCCTGGCGCCATGTGTTCCACAGGTAAGCAATGCACACTCACCCGGCCATCCACAGGATGTAAAAGAAAACGTGATTCATCAGACCAGGCCACCTTCTTCCATTGCTCCGTGGTCCAGTTCTGATGCTCACTTGCCCACTGTTGGCGCTTTTGGCAGTGGTAAGGGGGTCAGCATGGGCACCCTGACTGGTCTGCGGCTATGCAGCCCAATACACAACAAACTGTGATGCACTGTGTATTCTGACACCTTTCCATCAGAACCAGCAATAACTTCTTGAGCAATTTGAGCTACAGTAGCTCGACTGTTGGATTGGACCACAAAGGCCTGCCTTCGCTCCTCATGCGCATCAATGAGCCTTGGCATGAGCCATGACCCTGTCGTCGGTTCACCACTGTTCCTTCCTTGGACCACTTTTGATAGATAATGACCACTGCAGACCAGGAACACCCCTCAAGAGCTGCAGTTTTGGAGATGCTCTGAGCCAGTCGTCTGGCCATCACAATTTGGCCCTTGTCAAACTCGGACAAATCCTTACGCTTGCCAATTTTTCCTGCTTCTAACACAACAACTTTGAGGTCAAAAGGGGTGTTAACACATTAGATTAGGGAACACATTAAGGGATCTAGAATATATTCATTGCAGAATAATGCACTAATATGTGCTTTATAAGTACTAATAAACAGCCAGTATGCATGCTAATAAGCAACTACCTAATAGTGAATATTGTTCTAATGATCTAGTGTTACCAAAAAATATCAAAATATTTCAAATGTATGCATTTTTATAACTATATATGTATACATTATTTATTCAAAATCAATAATATAAAAAATAAAATGATGTATATTTACATGTTAACATATGTGCAATTAGTTTTATATTTTTCCTTTTTTTTTTAAATATAAGTATAGATAAATACAATTTATCATGCAGTACAACTGCACATGCACATTTGAGAAAATAAAATGGGAATAAAAATACTTGCACTGAAGCAG